AGCTGCCCAGAGTGTCCTGAACAGCCTACGCGACGGTGCCACTCGCTTCATGTTCCTTCCTTGGGACCCTCTTTCTCTTTATGGCGGCTTGAATTTTGCATCCATGCATGCATCCACTGAAAACGTATCGAGTGCTTGTATCCGGCAGACAGCGGGGACAAAATGGTGAACAAAGTGGTCACAGCCTTACTTTCATGGGGGTTACGTTTTCTCCTGGAAGAACTGAAGGAGAAAATGAGTAGCCAGCCGGCCGAAACCCAACCCTAAATGAACAAAAATAGACACAGCCTTGAACGGAACTGAAGGAGGCGCCTTACTAATGCCGCTCCCCAGCGCCCCCTGCTGCCTCCGTCTTGCACCGGAGGCCCCCGGCCCGCACCTTCCATGCCTGCTCCAGCAAAGGACACCAGTTTGCACTTGGCGGACACACCCCATGAGCGTCTTCCTGGCTGCTGGCAGCATCTGAGCTGGAGGCTCCCTGGCTCCAGGCTCCAGAAAGGAAATGGCCACGGAACACAGTCTAACAGCGAATCTGGAGTGCACAGTGTTTCCTCGGAGGAAAAGGGGCCTCAGGTCCAGGCCAATACCAGGAGGTGGGGGCGGTGAGGAGTGGGGCGCTGGCCCCGAGAGGGTGGTGGCAGGCAGGAGGGTGAAAAGAGCACACCAGATGTTTATTGCTGCTCATGGGCCGGGACTGTGCTTGTCTGCAGTGAGCCCCTTTCTCTGCTTTTAGGAGAGTAATTTGATTTGATGAAAGACTGCAGTTTCATAACATCAGCTGTGAAAACCGAAGGATGTGCATGAGTTTTCCCTCATGAAGGCCTTTATTTAATGTGAATATAGGAAGCTAGCTCATTTCCTAGAGCGTCAGTTCCTGGAAGAAGTGACTGGAGTCTTTCATACCTTCTGGGCAACTCCTGGGCACTTGGGTGGATGTGGCTTATGCAAGACGGTGGAAAACCTCAGAATCAGAAGACCTCAGTTTCCTCTCCGGCTCTACCGCTCGTTGGTAATTTGACCCTGGGCACATCTTCTCCTTCCCTGGGCCTTAGTTTTCTCATCTGCTAGTGTCCTTGTGGCTCAAGCCCCATGAAGGCTTTGAAAAGGCAGGCAGCCAGGCAGAGCTCCAGCAGCTGAAGCCCAGTGGGGGATGAGGGGGGGTATGTGAACCCCACAGCCACGTTTTCTTTTCCTGAGCATTTGCCAGGGCCCATAAAGAGCACTGGGGGGTGGGGGGGGGGAGACCGATGGTAGCTCTCCCCTGGCGTTCAAAACCTGGGTTGGACCAAGTGAAAATGCGGGGATTGTTCAACTCTTCACCCCCCCCGACTGGCGCCCACGAGGCTCCTCAGCGACTGTGTGACGCGACTTTTGTGCCATGGACTGGCCTGCAGCGCAGGGGAGATAAAGGAAAGGAGAGGATGGAGTGTGGGCCAGAAAGATGAAGCTGCAGTAAAGCGCAGTGGGAAGTGACCAGTGGGAAGAGGCACGGCAACTTTGGGCTGTGCGCTCCTGGGTTGTACCAGGCAGTGCTGTCGCCTGGAAAGGAGCTCAATCCAAGAGAAGTCAGAACACGGGACCCGACGTCTCTATTGTTTCTTTACAAGCAGAGTGATCCCGAGCAAACTGAAGGCAGGAAAATTACTTAATGTTTTTCTTTATCCAGAACTCCTTTCCTCTGTGGATCGCTCCCCTAAGGAACAATCTTAGTTCTCTTAACAGGAAGAAAACATTCCTGAGAGTAGAGCCGAACAGACTTGAACCAGTTCTCGCTGACTATTTTGGTAATGTTTATTATCGGATTCGGGAACCATTTTGGTAATGTTTATTATCGGATTCGGGAACGGAGAATAGGACCATCTAGTCAGCAGTAAACAGGCACCCATTTGTAAATGTCTCAAGTTCAAGTCTGACTCTAGAACCAGATACGAATAGAATCTTTAAAAAAATTTTTTTAAACATTTATTTATTTTTGAGACAGAGAGAGACAGAGCATGAACAGGGGAGGGGCAGAGAGAGAGGGAGACACAGAATCGGAACCAGGCTCCAGGCTCTGAGCCATCAGCCCAGAGCCTGACGCGGGGCTCGAACTCACAGACCACAAGATCGTGACCTGAGCTGAAGTCGGACGCTCAACCGACTGAGCCACCCAGGCGCCCCAAGAATAGAATCTTTTGAGCAAAATGTATTCTCCCAAACTCGAGGTGAATCTGCCAAACATTGAAGATGTTTTTGGTATCAAACCACAGAAATCGCTCAACGGCAAACATTATTTTTGAGTTACCAATGAGGCGGCTACACACGTTCTCATTTGCACAGACCTCCTCTTAGCACATTCGGCGGGTTTTGTCATTTGTTATTTGTTTGCTTTCTCTTTAGGTTTATTAATAAAAGCAGGGAATGGTTAGCCTAGGGTAGGAAAAAAAATCTCATCTTTATTTTCACTAACTTCTAATTAAATTTTAGGTTTAACATTTCATTCCACAATAGACATAGCCATAAATCCAAAGTTGTAATAGCAGTACCTGTATTATCATTACCAATAGAAATCACAGGCATTTTATGTTACATTGCGATTGGTGCAGATACCATGCGAGAAACAGCATTGACACTCAAACTACTTTGAAATTAGACATCCCTTCCTATTTTTAAAGTGTTTAAAGACCAAGCTTGTTTTCAAGGTACCTGGGTGGCTTAATTGGTTAAGGGTCCGACTTCTGCTCAGGTCATGATCTCACAGTTTGTGGGTTCGAGCCCCAAGTCAGGCTCTGTGCTGACAGCTCAGAGCCTGGAGCCTGCTTGGGATTCTGTGTCTCCCTCTCTTTGTGCCCCTCCCTATTCACGCTCTTTCTCTCTCTCAAAGATAAGCTAAACATTAAAAGATAAAGGCTTTGTTTTCAAATTTTTTTAGTATGTGTTTGTGTGTGTGTGTGAGAGAGTGGGGGGAGGGAGAATGAGTAGGGGAGGGGCAGAGAGAGAGAAGGAGAGAGAATCCCAAGCAGGCTCTGGCTGTCAGCACGAAGCTTGACTTGGGGCTCGAACTCATGAACTGCGAGATCATGACTTGAGCTGAGATCTAGAGTCAAATGCTTAACCTACTGAACCATACAGGAGTCCCTAGAAGACCTTGTTTTTATTTTTATTTATTTATTTTTGGGACAGAGAGAGACAGAGCATGAACAGGGAAGGGGCAGAGAGAGAGGGAGACACAGAATCGGAACCAGGCTCCAGGCTCTGAGCCATCAGCCCAGAGCCTGACGCGGGGCTTGAACTCACGGACCGCGAGATGGTGACCTGAGCTGAAGTAGGACGCTCCACTGACTGAGCCACCCAGGTGCCCCAAGACCTTGTTTTTAAAACGTCAACAAAGATGGCTGGCTGGCTCAGTAGTACAGCATGTGACTCTTGATCTCAGGGTTGTGAGTTCAACCACATATTGGGTGTGGAGTCTGCTTAAAAAAATTAAGTGTTAATAAATGACATGCATATTTCAAATTTTCAAAATATTTTGATAGTAGCATTTCAATATCTTGTGCTTCCTTTGCAGTCCTATAAATTTTACACATTTAAAAACATCTTCCTGGGGGCATGGGTGGCCCAGTCGGTTAGGCATGCGACTCGATTTCAGCTCAGGTCATGATCTCACGGTTCTTGAGATGGAGCTGTGTTGGGCTCTGCGCTGACAGCCCAGAGTCTGCTTGGGATTCCCTCTTCTCTCTCTCTCTCTCTCTCTCTGCCCCTCCCCCACTCGTGCTCTCTCTTTTCTTTCAAAATTAATAAATAAACCTTAAAAATAACAAAAACATCTTCCTGAGAAGGGTTCCATAGATTTCATCAATGAGAATTGAGGTGATTTTGCGCACACACACACACACACACACACACACACACACTTGGTAAGAACTAGTCTAGAGCCTATCACTGACTTAGGCGCCTGATGTGCTGAGACCAGAATTAGGAGGTTCTCCCAAATACACACCCACACTTGTTGTAAAGCTCGGGGCAAGGGAGGAATTCTGCTTCCAACTGCTTTTACAGGATCGCTGCTCCCTGAAGCTGGGCGGCATGCTGCCCTCGTGTTCTGGCTGGCTGTTAGGTGTCTCTGTCACTGCCACAGGGACAGAGGGACTGTGTCTTAGGAACAGTCTGCGTCCCCTGTTTCTAGCACAGTCCGTGACACAGAGCAGGTCTCAACAGAGTTTGCAGAGTAAATGGAAATACAAACCAGAAATAAGTCCTTATTGAAACTGACACACAAGTAGTTCCCGTTGGATGAAGTAGGCGCGTGTGAATGCGTGGGCACAAGACAGGGTGGGGATATGGGGGAGAATATCAGAGGGATACGGGGTGCATAAAGCGAGACGTTCTTTTTTCAAAGAAATTCAAAACAGACTTCTGGAGTGTCATATTCTAAGAGTTTTTGCTGGCCGTGAGAAAATAATTCCCCTGTGCATGGCCCCACCCAGCCTCACGTGGCCACCTCCCCCCTCCAGTGCAGGGGTGGCTCTCCAGTATATATAAATCTCTGTGAAGCCAAGGCGTGCACCGGCAGGGCCACCCGTCCAGACACCTCCCAGAGGAGGAGAGCTGTCCTGGGGAAGCCTTGCCCGGTCTCTGCACATCACTGCCGCTGCAGGCCCGAGATGCCAGCCATCCAGCTGCTACTTCTGGCCTGTCTGGTATGGGGTTTAGGGGCCAGGACAGCCCAGCTCCGGAAGGCCAATGACCGGAGTGGCCGATGCCAGTACACCTTCAGTGTGGCCAGCCCCCACGAGTCCAGCTGCCCCGAGCAGGGCCAGGCCATGTCAGCCATCCAGGACCTGCAGAGAGACAGCAGTGCCCAGCGGGCAGACCTGGAGTCCACCAAAGCCCGGCTCAGGTCCCTGGAGGGCCTCGTCCACCAGCTGACCCTGGACGAGGCTGCTGGGCCCTCGGCGACCCAGGAGGGGCTGCAGAGGGAGCTGGGCGCCCTGAGAAGGGAGCGAGAACAGCTGGAAAGCCAAAACAGGGAGCTGGAGGCTTCCTACAGCAACCTCCTCCGGGACAAGTCAGCTCTGGAGGAAGAGAAGAGGCGACTGAGGGAAGAGAACGAGGATCTGGCAAGGCTGAGAAGGGGCCAGTGTCCCCAGGCCCACAGCACCCCTCAGGATGTGCCATCAGGTTCCAGGGAAGGTAAGAATGTGGGGCGAAGGGGTCCCCGAGTCCAGAAGGCGGCATGGCTCATAGTGACCTGTTACAGGTGGTCCAGGCTTGCTCTCCCGCCCTCCCCTCTCTCCCGGAGGCTGCACGTCCAGCACGAGGCAGACGAATCCAGGGGAGCAATCAGCCTCACAGGTTACTAGTCATCTCACTCCTGGGAGCTCTGTTCGGGGCAGCGGTCCTGAGCTCTTGTGGCTTCCGGGACGGTTCTCACAGTGACGGTAAAATGAGAAATAGGAGACCAGGTGAGACGTATATGTAGATGATCAGTAGAAGGTTCCCAACTAGGCTTTTTAGAAAACTACCCCTTCAGTGGATCTTTCTTTGGAGACTGTGATTCCTGCCTCTTGTTGTTAAAATGACCTGACAATCAATTTATGAAATCATGATAGACGGTGGGGATTTTTTCATGTCCTTTCTTGGCAAAATAAAGAGGTGGTGACTCTTTGTCAGGTTCCTCAATATGTTGTCTTTGCGAATTTTCGGCCTCTTTGCCCAATCGGAGGACCTCTGCTTTTAAGTCACCAGGCAACTCCTTGAGGTGGCTCTTTCTAAGATGCTGGGCTGTTCGTCCTTGTCCCTGCTTGAAGGTGAGTCCGTGAGTGTTGGCTGCAACGGGGGGCACACTCTCCCCATTAGTTGGGAAGATAGCATTTGTGTCACTTTTTTTGAAGCTGTGCTCCCAAATGTTCACTGTTGGAGATGTTTTCCAATCGGGAGGAAACAAGCAAGGAAATCCAGCTGTGGGACAGTTAGTCCAGACTCTTCAGAGATGTCACCATCAAGAAAGAAAGGGGACAGGTGGATTGTTCTAGATTGAAGGAGGCTAGAGAGATGCGGTGGCCAAATGCAGTGCCTGGCTCTGGACTGGCTCCTACATCCAAGGGAAGAAAAGCTACAAGGGACAGGCTTGGAATCACTGATGATATTTGAATATCGGCTGCTTCTACGGTCATGCTATTGATGACTGCTCAGTTTCTTGGGCGAGAGATGGTGTGGTGGTTAGGGAGAGTATCTTCCGAGAGTACATACTCAAGTCCTTAGGGGAAAGGTGTCAGAATGGTTGCAATTTCCTTTCAGGCGGTTCAGCAAAGACTGTAAATATGGAAAGAGTGACAGAAAGGAAGGTAAAAAAATGCACCAAAGTTTTCACAACTGGTGACTCTCTGTGAACAGCACGTGGCGAGGAGGGGGGGACTTATTGTACTATTCTTTCAACTTTTCAAAAGGCTTGGAGATCATCAGAATAAAACAATGGGAAATTATTTTCTAAAAAGGCTTTCTACATAAAAGGCAAAGTCTGCAAATAAGCGAGACTGACAAACATCAAAGCCTGTATGTGACCTTGGGCAAGTCCTTTACCCTCTGGACCTTGACTTCTTACCCCTTACGTGCTAATGAGAATGTCTACTGTGAAGGATGTTTGTGGGGCTCACGAAATAACTCTAAGGTGGAAAGGATTTTTAAAGACCCCTTATTGCTGTAGTTGGAAGAGATTTGATGCTAAATTTTACAACAAAAGAAAATGAGGCCCGAAGGGCCCCGGGTTGCTTGGTGATCAGTGGTCGCACTAAAACTTGCTGAACTCGAGTCTTTGAGCACAAATAAAAGAATTAGTATTAATAGGAACATTATGAAGATTACTTATTTCAGACTGTTAAGCGAATGGAGTCACATTCTCAACAAAAACCCGTGTGTGTGTGTGTGTGTGTGTGTGTGTGTGGAAACAGAGGCAAATAAACAGCCTTTTATTGTCCTGTGGTCATTTAACAAGCCTTGGGGAATTTATGAGATGTGTTCTCTAATTTTACATTTCTTTTTGTTCTTTCCAGCTACTCTACTTTTGAAATAAGGACAACAGCCCATTAGAGTGAACTCCAAGCTTGGAAACTCTTTTTAGCCATGGGTTTTTTTTTTTTTTTCATGAGCAGGAAATTACATTAGCACAAGAACGTAGAGCTGCAAAAGTGGCCTGGAAAGCATCTGATCCACTGGCTCATTTGTGCAGATGTGGAAACTGAGGCCCAGAGCTGGTCCGTGGCCACCTAGCCAGCTAAAGGCAGAGCCAAAACTCAAATTCAGTTCCTCCCCTTCCTGAGGTCCAGCAGCCCTTCAGGGACCCTGAGGTGACCCCTGGTTTATAGAACCTAATGGTAAAAAACAGGAAGTGTGCATTTAAACATCAGGGAAAGAAATGTTTGGAACCAAAGATAGGCTTCGAGGTCTTAAATCTGAGGGTAAAGAAAGGGCTTTCTGGGCAGCTGGAGGTTAAGTGCGGCTGTGCTCGATGCAGGGGCAGCAAGAACTGAGGGCGAGGGCAGGGGAGGCTGTGAGAGCCCAGCCCAGGGAGGCCACAGAAGGTGGACTTTTTCTTCGTCTGCCATTCAGACTGTCACCACCGCTGTCTTTATGGTGTAATTGTTACACAGAAAAAAGATCTTCTTAGAATCACAGAAACCCCTTGTTCGTGTGTGTATGTGTGTGTGTGTGTGTGCGCGCGCACGCGCGCATGTGTGAGAGAGTTGAGATAGTATATATACAACTTTGTCGTAATAATTTTGCAGCAAAGTGTCTGGAAACCTATTAAATAAGCCCCAAGAGAAAAACACAGATTACCACAAGATCTCTCAGAGTCAGTTAGTAGCGTCCCAAGAGAAGCCCACTTTTCCCTTTACTTTGCGTCTGCTTCGGTCTGTACTTCCCAGAGAGAAGCCTGGGGTGGGGGCTTTTATGCAGTGATTTACGTGGGTCTAATCCCAGGGAGATCAGGAATCAGGGGCAGGGGAGAGTGAGTCAGAGAAGGAAAGCGAGCACATAAGGAGGGAGGGGGCATTCCCCAGTGGGTCCCCACAGTGGATGGTGGAGGCTTGACCCCACCAAGCCCTGCCAGGGAGCTGTGTAGAATGAGGGCACCCGGGTGGTTCAGTCAGTTGAGTGTCCGACTTCAGCTCAGGTCATGATCTCACGGTTCGTGAGTTCGAGCCCCGCGTCGGGCTCCGTATGGGCAGTGAAACTCCTGCTTAGGTTGGGATTCTCTCTCTCCCTGTCTCTCTCTTTCCCTCCCCACTTGTGCTCTCTCTCAAAAATGAATAAACATTTTAAACAAAGAAAAAAAGAATGCAGCCGAAGGAGGGAGCATTCATTGGTGGATCCTGCTCCCATGATGCACAGATGTGGGCACCAGACTGGCTCTTGTGGAGTCAGAGAAGCTGGGGCAGGGCAGCGGAAGCCAGGTCCCGGCCGATGACACCTGCACACGACAGGCTGCCGCGGCAATGGCTGGGAAAAGGTGGGCAGGACATGGAGGAGGAGCACCGGAGGTGTTCAAGGCAAGGGCTGCAGATAGCAATCCCCTGTGGGGGTGACCACGCAGATGAGAGGTAGCGGGCAGAAGCAGGCAGCACGCTGAGCGCAGTAAATGCGTCGTGACGAAGGGCTTCTTGCACTCCTGCTGCCCTACTGTTTTAAAACGCCGTTTAATGATTATAACGTTTACCCGTACATAATATTTTGGCATGCACATTGATCCCAGAGACAGTACGTGTTGGCGTAACACCCGGGCCATTAGGCTGCTGGCTAATCTTCGCTTTCCTGCGAGTTTCTGGCTTAAGCTCCCTAGAATGTGTCTGCAAAGCAGAGGTAAGGGACAAAGGGCAGAGCATGCAGAAAGTTTCCAGAATTTTGCAATAGGCATGAACTTCTCAACCACGGAAGGACTGAATCTTAAGAGAAACAAACAAATAAAAGCCCTAAAAATTTTTTAGCTATTGGATACAATACAGTCCTTGATATTTTCATAACCTCTTTTTGTTTTCTCCCCACGTACGGAAGGAAATATGAGCGATTTCTCAACATTCCAGAGAGATTTTGATTTTGACACATTTTTATCGAGGACATTTCGTTTATAGTTTGAACTAAGAATACTGAGGCTCAGAGAGGTCGAGCAACTTGCCCAAAGTCACACGGCAGGGACGTGGCAAGCCCGAACTAGGAAGCTACGACTCGGGCCCAGTCCCAGTCCCGGCTCCTTCACACAGCTGCTTCCCACCTTTGCCCCCCCCTCCCCTCCCCCATGCATCCTCTCCCACAGGCCTCTGTCTTCATGCCAGACGGCTCTGCCCTGGAAGCTCACCATTGCCAGATGCTCCTGGCTGAAACAAGCAAGAAGCAGCCAGCTGACCTGTCAGCCTACCATCCCACCTGCCAACCGAGAAAGGGCCTTGCTGTCGTTCTCGAAGCCGTTCCCTGACTTAATGCTTCACTATGGTTCTCATTTACTGCTGAGAAAGCAAGTGAGGTGTGGTGCTGGCAAAGAGGGAGGAGAGGCGTGGGGATGGGGCAGAGAGACAGGGGAGAGAGAGGAAGAGAGGGAAGGGGGACGGAGGAAGAAAAGGGCCCTCTGCGCAGAGCTGTGAGGACCTCGGTGGGACCAGGAAAGGAACTCAGCAGCAGCCACCCACCGGGGCCACCTCTTCTTTGGCAGCCGGCCAGAAGCCTGGGCTCCCTAGTGTGTGCCACCCGGGAGCTGTGCGTGCCGCCCGCTGGCATCTGAGCTCGGGTCCAGGAGTGAGTCACTCCCCCCAGTTCTGAGCAGCTTGTCTGAAGCTGCTGGAAAAGCCTCAGGTACGGGTCTGCGTCCAGTCAGGGCATAGACTCCACGCTGCGGGTTATGCCATGGCCTTTTAGTTTTTATTTTATTTTTTAATTTTTATTTATTTATTTTTATATGCTTGAGAGAGAGAGAGAGAGAGAGACAGAGAGAATTAGTGGGGGAGGGGCAGAAGGAGGGAGAGAATCCCAAGCAGTCCCCATGCTCAGCTCAGCTGCGAACCCGACTGGCGACTGAAACTCACCGCCGTGAGATCATGCCCTGAGCTGAAATCAAGAGTCAGATGCTTAACCAACT